AAAGTTCAGTAATCTATTCAACTAATTACAAGATAGATCACAAAGCATGAAATTTTTTGGAGGAAACATCAAAAGCAGATAAATCTATACAGAAAAAAAGAAGCCTTATACATGTACCCAAGGACAAGACCCATCTTTTTTCCTATTCAAACAAGAATCACGACAAAGCAAGTCCATATATAGATACTAGAACACTCTTAAGTAAAACCCAAGTCGAACGTGTTTCAAGTCAGCACGAGTCAAATAGTAGGATGAAATATCTTCACTCTGGATGAGTGTTTCCGAAAGCGCACTTGAAACATTTTCTGACCTAATGAGAAAGTTACTGCCAGAAAATTGAAACACCACTACATAATTCTCTCCTAAAGGACAGACTAAAAGAGCTTAACCAAATCTTATCAGCCACATGGTTCATCTCATTTTTGAACTGATGAGCATAGACACACATGTACTAAAGAAAATGGTATACAGAACCACAATGGGCTTTTATTAAAGTAGCAACCAACCGCAATAGGTAATATCAAACACGATGCCAGACTCAATGTACCACAGTTAACAATTCACAATATGCAGTGGCAAAGATAGTAAAACAACATCAACATAGATGATCCTTATAAAAGTAATCATATTTTTCCTTCGTTAGGCATATCAAATTCATCTAACATATATATGTATATATATAGTGATCCAAAGTTGAAATATATCAAATCAAACCACCTCCTTGGCCAAGGGTGCAGGCTTCTTGAGGTCGTCGTCAACCACCTTCGTGGGGACCGCTACATAGCCCAGTTTCCTCTTCGCGGCAGCCACATCATCGTCATCATCACCATCCGAGGAAGATGAGACATCGGCAAAATCAAAGCTGGCCGGATAAAAGAGGGCCCACACGAAGTACATGACGGCAGCCGTGAGCACTCCACAGCCGACCCCAAAGAGCAGGGCACCAACCACGCTCATGATATCCTTGGTCCGCTCGCGGATCGAGCTGGAGACTGAAGAATAGAACTTGAAAGGGAAATCGGATGACGTTGACTGAGGATTGTCACCAAACGAAGCGGCGGCTCCATCGGAGTCCAAATTGATGGAGGGGTGGCGATCGGAGAAGGGCCTGGTGACGGAGGAGGTGAAGATCAGGGTGAAATAGCGGGGTCTCTGGCCGGTAAAGGGGGAATTGGGGTTAGGGTTAGCGGGGAGGGAGTGGTAAGGGTAGTAGGTGGAGGTGGTGGTGGCGGAGAAATAGAAGAGGGTTTTGCAGGGACGTGCAGAGACGGTGGCGGCTAGGAGAGAGAGGAGGAAGAAGAGTGGCAGAGGAGCTCTCGCCATTTTCACGATGCTGTTCCTATAGAGAGAGAGAGAGAGAGAGAGAGAGGAATTGTAGAGTGAATTTCGTAAAACGGAAAACAGGTAAAAACTAAAAAGAAAAGGGAAAAGTCCGCTGATTTTATATTGGAGAGTGCAGAGTGAAGAGTGAGTTTGTTTTTTTTTTTTTTT